AATGAAGTTACCCCTCTGAAACGCTCTTCATATACGTTATAGCTAAAGAAGGTTGCAGTCTTTGATAATTTTGCAACTTTAATTTCATTTAACTTTTCTGAGGAAAATGACTCAGGAGGGTAACAAACTGTTGAGTTTGTTCTCATTTGGTCCCTTTCCTTTTTTTTTGTACTCAATATACTATCGAACTTGTTGTTTATGTTCACCATAACCCTTTGACCCGGCTATCACAGGTCCAAAGTCGGTCAAAAGGGTTATGGTGAACACAAACAACAAGTTTAATGGTATATTGAATACAAAAAAAGGAAAGGGACCAAATGAGTACAAACGCAAAAGTTAATTACCCTCAAAAGTTATTTTTCCTTTTTTTGGCATGTTTTACTCCTTTTCATACTCAATTGTTGTTAGGTATTTTTTATATTAAATAGAATCTTGAACAGTAAGGTCTTGGTTTTAAAATTTTCCCACATAGGTTTTGAATTTTGGTTGATTTAATTCCTATAATTTTGTAATGTACATAAAAGGTTCATATAAAGTTCTTTTTAAAAAAACAATCCATGTGTTTAAGATTTTCGTATGTTGTCAGGTTTGATCCATGTGTAAAAAATAAATTATAAAAAATGTCCCCATAATTTACAAAAAATGTCCTTGTAAAGTTTTTTTCTTAAAGAAACAGTCCATGTGTTTAAAAAACAACAAATCCCAACATGACAAAAAATTTGCAGATTATGCGCACCACATGCCCCCGACTTCATCCCCTGTGAAGTGGGGTTTGGGGATTTTTTAGTGTGTGTGTGTGTGTGTGTGTATATATATATATAAGCACATTGATCTTAGCAACAGTTACATTTATTGTGTTTAAACATTTTGCAATTTAGTCCCTCCCCAACTTCACAATCAAATACTTCTTGAACCTTTTCCCTCCACCTCATTCAATTATTCATCTTCAATGGCCCTATCTTTTCCATCGATGTGAAGAAATTTTCTCCTCCTGATGTCGATTTCGGGTCCCCGCTTACTGTCTTTTGTCTAATTCCCTTCGTCCCCTCTAATTTCCCTTCGTCCGCTAAAGGTTTGGAATTTGATTCATTTCTGAAATTGGTCCGATTATGTTTAACGTCAGAGATCCAATACCCTTCTACACTTGTAGCATAGCGTACCATTTTGCACAGTCGATCATCTTTGAGTGAACCTCACCTTCAGCCTTCCGGCACTCCAGTGCCTTCCTCCACTATCGCCGTCGGTAAGCTTTTCTTCCCCATCTCTGAATTCGATTTCCTTTGGGGTTATTATACACCGGTCAAAGCAATAGCTTTTAATTTCCATTCACTGGTTTTTCATCAGATTCTGATGTTTGTTTGACATAATAGTTGCCACCTACCTATCGTATAACGCTTCTTCTTCAGTTCAGTTTGATTTCCTCCACCACTCTACCGCTTTCCTCCACCAGCACCGCCACTCCAACGCCTTCCTCCACTAGCACCGTCGGTAAGCTTTTCTTCCACGTGAAGGTGTTGCTTTATGTTTTGTTACTCTTGTGCCCTATTAGTACTGTTTTTTTACCTACCATTTAAGTACCTAAAATACACCTTAGTCAACATCAAACTTTATTATAACTACATGTTTATATAGAATTCACATGAAACATATTTTTGTGTTATGTAGTTGAAGATATACCTATGTTACATATTAACATAACTGTTACTCTTAACAACACTCAGGAATGTTTCAAGGCATGATGGAGCTCTCATAAGTAAGTTCATTTGAAAGCAAAGTTATCACCAGTTGGATCAAGCAATCCATGGGAACTTAATATAGCCTCACCGAGTGATGGTTAGCTTTATTGTATTAGGGAAGGACATTCTCGAACAACACACATTCCTCATTTTGATTGGACATGGTATATTGTTTTAGACAAATCTTCATATTCTTTTTAACATATTCCTTAGTTTTATCTGAATTATCTTTTTCATATGTCCTTATATTTTTGCAGACCATTAATGTCTTATCCCATATCAAAAAAAGTGTAATACCTGTAGGAATTGAGCTATCTGATTGGGCGGTTTATATAAGTCATTAACAATCATGATATGTTTGCACACGTTTTAAATTCATTAGATGTATTTTTCTAATGATATTAAATGTGTAACTTTGTGAGAAAGCTCTAAAAATCGAACCCAATAGTGATCTGCA